CATATACATCCAAACTATAATATTCCATTGGATCAAGAATCTGAAAATTTCTGGATTATAGCAAACCTGAAAAAGGAGAAATTGAAAGAATGTACAAGAAATTGGCATGTCTAGGGATGCCTCTGAAAACAGGACTTTTCATTGTATATTTTGTACCTTTAAAATTTTTTGCCACATGCATTTATTACGCTTCAATTAAAAGTTTTTAAATCAAGAGAACAGTTTTCCTTTTTCTTCTATCACAGGTCTCTCTGCAGCTCAGTTCCCTAGGGGGAGAGGAGACTATGGTGGGGCTGGCATCACACCCTGGAAGCCACCTCTCAGCCCAGGACCTACCTAAGACCAACTCCAGCCTTCCAGCTGAGTTGGCCAGCAGCCCTGCTCCCCTGGCTGCCCCTGCATCTGGAGGGGTTCTGTGAACTCACACTATTGCTGGCTGCCCTTGCCACTGATACTCCAGTTGGGCTGTTGAGCTGGTACAGGGACTCCATTCAAGGTGTTCCCGTAAGGGGCTGGCTCTCATGGCTCTAGCAACCAGAGGGGCGAAGGGACCAAGAGTTCGCAAAGGGAGAAGTACACCTAGCCTTACATTCTCCAGATCTTGCCATTCCCTTTCAAAGAGAGACTGCTTTTTGTTTTGTTTTCTGCTAATATGAGGACAGGAACATGAAAGAAAAAAAAATGAAAAGGCCAGAGATGAGTGGGGAGAAATGGTCTTAAAGCTCCCTTTCCTGCTGGCCCCAACCCCATGCCACTTGCCTCCACATGGCAGAGCTGGGCTGCAGAGTCGTTGGCTGGGAACTGGTCTCCTGGTTTTCGTCCCCAGTGCCAGCTCCTCCTCAGCTTTCCCTCATGGCATTCAGCTTCCACCTGGCCTTCCTCTTCTGCCTCCTTTTCTGATTATCACTATGGATGGGTGCTGGCCCATTGCTTCTGAGTCTCCTACTTCTCTCCACCCCTCCTCTGATTTCTCTGATTCCTCTTCCTCTGGCTTACCTATTTGGCTTACCTATTGCACTGCCACGCTGCCCAGAAACACCTGCCATCTTTAAGGGCCATTTCCCAGACAGAAGCTATACCTGCCCCATTACTGGGATTGCTCAAAGTAGGTTCCTCTACTCTCCAGTCCCATTCCCTGCACCCGATTTCTTTCCAGGTAGGGGCAGGTTGTTCCCCCTAACAGGCCATGGGAAAGTAGACATGAGGACAATTGAGAAGCCATGACAGAGTCAGAGAAAGCAGCAGACGGACATGTGCATACAGTAAAGTGGACACAGACTCCAAGAGATGTGAAGATACAGAGCATGAGGAAAACAGCTTCAGGGAAAGAAAAAACAGAGAGCAAAAACCAATAAAAGTGCAACAAATACTAAAACCAGAAGGGCCTGCGGAGGAACCATCCGGAGAGCAGTGAGAGGATGGCTGACCTCAGTGGAGTTAGGTCAGAGAGGGCCAGGAGGGCGGGGGGTCAGTATTCGAGGGGTTGGAGGCTAGAGGAATGGCGGAACAGAAATCTCTCAGGAAGGGTCACTCATGTCCCAAGCTGTTGGGCTTACTGGCTACAGCAAGCAGAATCTATTTAAAACACACCAGGCATTTTGCCTTGTCCTGTTTCCTTGCCCAGAAAGGGCTGGAGCCAAAGGCTTAGGGAACCATCCCAGCATTAGGACCCTGCACGGACTACAGGGCTCTGAGACCATGAAGATCCCTGCCCCATCTAGGAATCACCAACCTCCACCCTCTACACAAGCTGCCAGGACACTAAACTCATAGCATATTGATCACAGTCCCAAAGGTTACTTGTGTTATCTATGTCCACTGGGAAAGGCTCAACGAGTCCTTCGTTCTCTCTTAAAGCTCGTCAGAAAGCAGATGCTGCTCAAATGTGACATCTGCTCGAAAGGGATGCTGAAAGGGAGCTCCTTGACCAGTGGGAATATTCTTAATGATGACTGGAGAGGCCTGGGTGATTAGATTACAGCAAGACAAGGAAGAGAGCGTGAAAGGACATCAAGGATAAAATGGCCCTAGGGAAACCATATGGGACTTAAATGGGAAAATGCCAAGTGCCTCACTCCTTTCCGTAGACTGCGTATCTCTGGGAAGCTCTAATCTAAAGAAGACCTGATTCCTCATCCATCTGCCATGGAGGTGTACAAAATGAGGCTGGGAGATAAGAAAAGTGGCCAAGGAGAGCCGTCCACACACACTGTTTTCTCTGAGACGGGAATGAGAGGTTCTTCTTCCCCCGGCTCTTGAGCCTGTAAATTGTGTAAAATACTGCTCTGCAGGAGATTTATGAGTGATTTATTGACTTATAATCAAATCAAGTTTTGTCTGCCAGAGGAGTTGGCTTTTGAAAATAAATTTGGGGTCAATCCTATGCTTAAAGAGAAAGATGGCTTTGAAGGTGACTAATCATTCTGGTTCATGTTGTAACTTTGGAATTTTGAACGTCTGTTTTGGGGGGATATGGGGATGGGGAAGGGGCTGTCTCAAGACCCACATATAGTTTGCTTTTAGGTTGCAATTAAACATTACTTTAAAACAAACAAAAAACTTAAGCAGATAGCTCCTGTGTTGCTATCTGGAGCTACTGCAAAGAAATATGAATTTCTTAAAGTCCATTACGGAAAATCTCATGTATATTTAAAAAGTAGCAAGCTTAATATAAAAAAAAAACCAGCTTCAACAATTATCAACTCATGGCTAATCTTGTGAGAAACATGGACTTTGAGCCAGATGACAGAGAGAATGAACTTTACAGTACAAGACAAATAGGATCAGTCCCACTGAGGCTGCAGGATCTGAGTTTCTGCAAAAATGCCCTAGACTAGAGCCTGGAATATGAAGAGGAGGGTGGAGAAATGTATTTCTGGTTAACAACGAAATAAGAAACCTGGGACTTAAAAAACAAAACACACATACACACTCCCCATCCCTCCTCAAGGCAGTACCATGCAAAAGTAATACTAACAGTGGTTTCCTTCACAATGGAAAGGACTGGCAAGGAGATTCCCTTTTTACTTTACATGTTTTTTAAAAAATTGTACTATGTGCATGCATTAGCTATTTTTTAAAGTAACTTGTTAAAAATAAACGTCATGAAGCTTTACAGTAACCAAGTCCACTAGATGTGACTAAAGGGCAAACTGCGTGGACCCAGACCACCAAAACTCTATCATATTTTGACATGGATGTGCTGTTTTATAGTAATTTTCTCAGCTAGATGAATGTACAACCTTCCAATCCCAAGCTGTCTATCAGGAGGAGAGATGCTTCGTGTAACAGAAAAACCTAGCCTTTAATGTTTATATGGGTGTGTACATTTGTCAAAGTTCACCGAGCTAAACTCTTAGGATTTGTACACTTTAAGTTCATGATACTGCACTTCAATAAAGTATTATTAGCAACAATAACAACAAAAATCCCAGCCCTTATGTATGAATAAGCCCCAAAAAATCACCATTTGGGGGTCTATTGGGTTTGTGGTTCCGAGAAAACTGGTTTTTGGAGAAAACAACATAACACGGACTTTTTGCAAAAACGTGCTCTGGAAACCACCCCTACAGCATGTGCTTTCAGTTAAGCATTCCGTGGCTGAAACGCAACTCTGTGCTGAAATGCCGAGAGGATGAGGCAAAATCTTGGCCAAGGTCAAACTCTGCTGATGGTTTGAGAGGGGGATGGCAGCCAACTGCTATGCACTTGTATAACATTTAAAAAAGAAAAACTAACCCCGAGTCATCTTCTGTTCCTTTTCTGAGCCAACTTTAGTCCTGCTCATTGTATCCAAGAACTCAGAGGAAGCCATATGTGCTACAGCCCAGGCCGACCAAACCTCCAGGGCCCAAACACAGATATCTTGATGAAGAAGAAACTAAGCTAGCTGACTGGGGGCTCTAGTTGGCTCTATGAGACATAACAAAAGGTGTCAGAATTTTAGACAAATTTAGGGTCCATCTAAAAGAGGGCAGAGAAATATATTTTAGCTTCCTTTTTGGCTATCTGGTCCCTTTTCTGGAATAACAATAGTATGACTCCAATATGGTAGAAAACGGGGGATCATGTCTATGTCTAGGTGATTACTGTAAAAAGAGCTTCAAGTTTAGGATATTTGGTACCAATCTGCGCTGCATAAAAAAAAGCCAACACACCACACCCTCTTTGGGACTGAAAATAAACACCAGGATGGACTGGAAAATGTATTTTCTGCCAGGTCATAGGGAATGGATAGTGAAATGTCTTTCAGCAGCTTATAAAACACAAACTTGACATTTTGCACATGTCTGTCTCTCTGCTGGCCAAGCAAAAGTAATCAGGGCAAAGTCAGGGTTATGCAAAATGCAGGCCCCAGAGACATCCCTGTGAGTTAATTATGCCTTAGGATTCATGGATGGATAACAATGTGTTAACACTGTGAACCCCTATATTTTCTTAGGTAGTCGTGACAACACAAAAACAAGAATGTTTTTAACTTATTGGTTTAATGTTTTCCCTTTAAAGGACCCAATTGTCTATTCGATTCTCTCTATATGGTATAGCTTTAATTTTTATTATGTCCTTAAAATGAGAAGCAGTCTTTTTTTCTTCAATATCCTCCCATCTACAACACTTGGCAAACTTGCCTAATTTCCATTCCATGCTTATCTCTTATTAAACCTTACAGCACTAGAAATGTGCTGAAGATAAAGATTTCTCTTCTTTCTTTACTGTTAAAGGGTGAACTGGGTAGAAGAAACATGAGTTCCCTAAGGCCACACACAGCACATCTCTGGTGAGGAGAGTATTTTGACCCCAGGTAGAACACCAGATGGAGGGAGCAGTCTTTTCTCGAGTCAGTGAGGCCAGGAGGACATAGTGTGGTATTCTGTTTCTCTCACTCCCCTCCTCTGCATAAGCAATCACCATTCCCAGGGCTGGGGGCAGGATGAGAGCGTGCAATGAGGCAGAAGGTACAAAGCACCCGAGGAAAAGTACCACATCAAGAAATTGTGGGTGCTTGCCTTGGCAGAGCATGTTCTAAAATTGGAACAATACAGAGATTAGCATGGCCCCTCTGCAAGAATAATACACAAATTTGTGGAAGTGTCCCATATTTTTATATAAATGTCACATATATATCACCTGAAACTAATAGAAAACAATATTGAATGTCGACTCTAACTGAAAAATAAAAATGAAAAAAAAATTGGTGGGATGTATTACTGCAGTGCCCTTACAGAACATCTAATTCCAATTCCTAATTTTATTGAAAAATATAGGAGCCCAGAAAAGTTACATGGCTGGTCCAAAGATACACAGCTAATGTCCAGAACCAGAACCTAGTTCACCAGCTCACTCCTTGGATCCTCCAGTCACAATAGAACTGAGTATGGGCAAAAGCAAATATGAAGTACATGGGCTACACACTCATCATCCCCACCAACCAAATAAATGTACCTCTTTTAAAACTACCCATGTCTCAAACTTCCATTTCTCTTCAATCCCATTAGCTTACTAAGCTCAAATTTCTGATTCTGATCAGGACTTAAGAGAGACTCTAGTGGCCTGAATAGTCAGAATCCCAACTCTCCCCTAATATGTTGCAGCCTGAGAAGGGAGATCTTTGGGAAGCAGGAGCAGGATAGAAGTGGCCTCTTCAACTCAGAAATATTCTGGACCACACATCATGCTTATAATAATGCTGACTCTAAACTCAGCAGCTTTTGAATTTTTTGCTGGCAGAAGGGCAACAGGCTACCCATTTAATGAGAAAAAATTTGAGAATTAATAACAAATAAGGATGCTGAAAGGAGGGCACATGCTTTGAGTTCAGTCTGTAGGGTATGAGATTAACTACTTCCTTTCAGTCCGAGCGCAGTACTTTTTAAGACAGTGTGAACATTAGAAGAGGGTACAAGCCAGGATGCATGAACTAGGTCCTTTGACAGTCCCTATTCCTGTGCAAAAAAGTCAGTTCTTGATTAACCCCCAGCAATTACCCATTTGGTCCCATTACCTGCAGTGTCTAGGGACCTCCAACCAGACTTGGCCACAGACAGAGCTGGTTAGAAGAATACAATGGTCTAATGTATTTCCTGCCTTCCCAAGTAATATGTCGGCATTTTAGTGAGGGCCTTGGTGCCTCAAGCAAAGGGAGTGACCAATGCACCTCTCAGTAGGCTGGTGGGACAGGCGCCTTAACAAGTGGGCCATGTAGGTGCATGTCAGCCCTGCTCTACTGCCTGATGCAAAACTGCTCCAAGACTGGGGACGGGCAGAAGGTATTAGGCTCCAACATGGGGAGAAAATTTGGTGAATATCTGAAAAGCATAGCTGAATTCTAAAATAAAAATATGTGGGTGATTCTGCATTATTTTTATGTTATTCAAATCAAGAGTTAATCATAGCAAGAATCATTCTTATACCCTCTTTTGGCTTATGTCATTCCCAAAATAATGGATTCTCACTGTATTCCTGAGGGATTAGTTAATTTAAAAATGACCATCTAATCTTTTTAAAATATATAAACTAGCAAACAGAGAAACTATCTCCATTAATAGTAATACGTGATACCTCTCATTGAGAATGAGATATAATGAAGAAAAAAAAAAGAGGAAAGGATAAATGAATGAATGAAAAACTCAGGCAAAGTAAACTAAGAACTTAAATTACAGTCAAGTGTTAGGGTCCCAAATTAACAAGCAGAATTTAAGAAACTGAACAAGGGTTCTTTCCGCCTACTGAGTTCCTAAGAGTCCAAAATGAGGGATTAAAATGGCTTTATTTCAACAGAACACATTTTGTCATCTGATCCCTATCTGTGACATAGATAAGAAAAAATAAGTTTTGGTTACACTCGTAAGAAGCAACGAATCCTTGAATACTGCACCTTGTTCTCTTTAGGATGGCAAATCACTAATTAGTTGTCCATCAGAAGGAAAAAAGTTCTGTAACTTTTATTTTAAAATAAAACATTTTATTTTAAATTTAAATTTTGTTAAAATTTAAAATAAAAGTTTTATTTTTAATTAAAGTTTTTTTTACACTTTTATTTTAGAATAAACAGTTTTTCAAAAAAAAAAAAACACTGACTGCAAGGGGGAAATGAGGCAATAAAGGGTGGGACACAGAAAGGAAGCAGTAAAAAGTCCTCAAGTCTACAAAAATAATGATCAGGGCACATTCAGAGAGGCCCTTGCTATGACACTGTCCTCTCGCCACTACTCATATGGAAACTCAGCAAATGCACTGGGACAGAAACTGCAGGGCCAAAGAGAAGCATTACCTTGATATATGCTCTTAAAGGTATATCACTTTGTGCTCTGGAAATGTGAGTTCTTTCCTCACTACCCAATTTCTAGGATTCTAATGAAATTATTAAAGATATAGTCAAAGATTTATATACAGGAAAGTTCACCACAGCATCACTGATATAAATTTTCAAGTGTTGGAATAAATAACTAAAGTAAGGCGGAGCCACTATAAGTCAACTTTCAAAGATTTAAAAGACACAGGAAGCTAATTACTTGTGATACCATGTTAAATGAGGGGAAAAATAAGATACCAAGCTATATATATGTATGACTCTCAATTCTGTTTAAACATTATATGTATTACATGCATTTTTAACTTCTAGAGGGAAATTCATAAACATACAAGCAAAAGCTGGCCCTGTTCTAGATGGAGGGAAGATGGATGATTTTTATTCTCTTTTTAGATTCGTCACTAATAAGCATACATTACTTTTGTATCAGAAAAATATATATATATTTATTTTATAATATGCTACTCTAAAATACCTTATTTGAAATAGCAATTGTCGGTCTTAGAGAAAGGCTACTAAAGTCCAATGCTGACTCAGAGAACAAAAAAATTCAAATCTACACAGTAACACTTCTGAAAAGGATGAGAAACTTCATGTGCCACAGTCTAGCTTCTTCCTCTACCATGGCGGCCGGCTCTGTCACTGGGCTTTGCAGGAAGCTCTATTGGAGAACCCATTCCTTCCTCCCACAGCAACCACTGCACCTTAAATGACCTCGTATGTCTTTCTTACCTCTCAGCATGAGGATCACAAGGAGAGAAAGAGCGAGCCCTAGTTCCTATTTCAGAGGAAGAAGTTTTTTTTTCCTAAAGCTATCAAAATGAACCTAAATGAGATATGCAAATTCTGAAACATAAGTTATGAGTTACGTTCAGCATATATAAAAGCTTCTTATTTCTCAAGAATTAATATAAAATAAAATCTATGAGTGCCACCTTGTGGCCAGCCTCACTTCTACATGACCATCCATCCATCTCTATGGTTCTCCCCCACTGGGCTCCATGCAGTACGGCCACCGAGATACAGGCCCCATACTAACCTACTACATTGAACACACAGTCCCCGAAGCAGCTGGTACTATTCATTTTCTAGTTTCGATTCCAGAAATGCCTGCTTGAGGAAAGTGGGAATGAAGGGGCAGAGAAACAAAACGTAGGATGTGCACATGCGTTTGTTGATGGGCCAAAGCTACGCTGTACGTGTGGTATAGCCATTTGTGCACACAAACCATGGGGCTGCCATATGGGAGGGACCTGTAGGATAACTATCTCCTCCCCCAAGAACATTTACTAATTTTACAAAGTTATGCAGGAAAAAAATTTACATTTACAATCAGTGAGTTTTGTGCTTAGAAGTTTTATTTATCAATGTTAAAGCAATCATTATCAACTTGGACACAATTCTAAAACAGAGCTCTTGTTCTGGCCATAAAATCTTTTTTTAAGTTTATTAAGATCTCATAAAGTAAGAAAGTTTTCCTAATACTTTAGAAAAAATACTAATCACTAATAAGTTGATTTCATGCTCAAAGTGGTGACCCCACATTTTGAAAGATACACACCACTCTTTGAACATCTAAATATATTAATTCGTCTTGGTATCCCCAGACATGAGAGGAAATGGAGAAATCCTCACATTGCAACCTGACCAAATGACTCCAGAAGAGAATTAAGTGCTCAAAAGAGGTCAGTATTGCAAATCTGAAGGGACCTGATACTGATTCTGAGAAAAGATAATCTTCCTCTTAGAAAGGGATTAAGCTAAAAACCTTGCAGTTCTAGGCAGGATCGCAACAAGCAGACAACAAACAGTAGAAAGGGAAAGCTGAGCAAATTATCAAAATTCTCTTGGGAGATGGTGCTTATGCTTCTTACTGTCCCACCCGGATTGAAGGCCTATTTCCAGGAAAGGATTGTCCCTCAGTGTTAATGCGGAAGTGTAGGGCAGGAAGTTGCTGCTTTGGTCCTGGACCTGTAAAGGGAAGCCTTCTCAAGCAAGGGAAAGTAAAGTGAAGTGACACGGATGGGATAGATGCCAGCCAGGTAATTATGGGAGAGTATGAAGCCAAAGAGTTTATAATTATGAGGCTGAACTGGGAAAATGCATCTGAACCCTTGTTCACCTCCCCAACTCCCTGGAAGAAATTTTCTCCCTTCCTAACCTGACACAACAGCCCTTTTGAGATAAACCAACATACTGGACAGGGAAGAAATGTATTAAAAACCTGAGAGTCTGGAGAGATCACTTCTGGGAGAATCTTTCATTTGCCATCTGCACAGGGAAAGCAGAAGAGTAAAATAAAGGCCAAGGCCCCACCTTGACCACAGAAATAAAATAAAAGCGAGGAAAAAAGAATTTTTACCCCGCCCAGTTAAAATGCAAAAACCATAAGCTCCCCTTAAAACAACAGCCATGCTCCACCAGAAGCATCCTGGGATCAGTATGGGTTAGTATTCTGAGCTGTGTCACCAGGCTTTGACAATTAATGATGTATTAAAACAGGAAAAGGTGACTTTTCAACCTTGGTTCCAACTTCCCAGCACTCTTAATCTGGGAGGGAAGCAGCTATCACGACAGCTTGATGGGAAGGTCTTCCCCGTACTTCCGGAGCAGCTTCTGATGGTTGTGGTCCACAGACCACTGTTGGGGCAGGTGCTTGGGCTGCATGGAGTCCAGGAAGTGCTGACGCCAGCGCCTCTCCAGCTGCATGAGGGAGCGCAGCCCACCCTGGCTATGGCACTGCACCACCTTCAGCCCATGGGGAATGTAGTTTTCATTGGAAATCCTGCCAAGACACAAAGTACAAAGGGTCTGAGAGAACCAGGCACAGGATGGTCTCACAGTTGACTGCAAGTGCTGCAGGCCAAGGGGCTTCCACAAGGGTACATGAGAGGCTGTTAGATTCCTAACATGTTGGTCACTTTAATGTTTTTAAAACATCCTCTTTTCCATATCTGCCTTAAAAAATAGTTTGGATATATTGTTCACAATCTATCAGAAGGCTTTTGGGTATTCTGAGTTATACTTGTGGGAAAACCACCGCATGATTAGAGGGGCCCTACTGTCTGGCTGCTGATGCGTGAAGAATGCTGGTTCTGTATTGATTTCAGGGTGCTGTGACCAGCTCACGCTCCAAGTTATTCATCCTGAAACATACTCAGTACTTACATGAGGCTGCTAATCAGCCTACATGTTCCAGTTTTTCACAACAGTAATTTTACCTGAATATAAAATGCAAAGTGGGACATTTCCTTAGTGTCTTCTTTCTCACAAAAAGAATGCCAAACCACATTCATGAGAAGTGCTTCGCTCACAAAGAAATGCTACCGTGGTTGCTCGTTGTGCAAAGGTGCTGTTTAACAGGAAGATGAATCCCTGATTCCCTCCCAACTAAGCAGAAAGGCCTTACGAACTGCTCTGATACCCTAACAGTGCTTTCACCTCCTACAAATAAAGACTACCTCTCTCAAGGAAGCTCCCTGCCGCGGGGGCTCCGTCCTCTCCCTGCATTCACCTCCCACTCTCAGTCCTCCCTCCCAAGACTCTCGCCAGTCCAGTGGTGTCAGTGCCCTCTGGGTATCTGCAGACATTTTATTATTTAGCTCCTGAGCATCCCACTAACTTGTCTATCTTTCCCGAAACAGCTGTTCTTCTCGGTCCTAGACATCCAAGTCCAGCTTCCTTCTACCCAAGTCAGCAAGATAGATTTATTAGAAAGGTCTATGGCTGAAAGGGGAAGTTGGGCTGTTTTAGCAAATATATTTGGGAATTGGTTAAAGGAGACAATATCATTAATTTCTAATATGACTTTGGCAAGTTACTTAACTTTAACCTTGGGACATCTAATATAAAACTTGGAAAACAACACCTATTCTACAACCTCGCAGAATGGTTATAAGAATAAAGTACGATAACAAATTTTTTAACTGAAATATTTAAAAAGTGTAAGATATAACGTTAGGAGTTACCAGCAAAAAATCTAAATCCTACCTCATAAAGTTGTTAGAAGAACTAATCAAGGAGATTTATGTAAAGTTTATTAGCTTGGTTAGATAGATAATTATGTCTACAAATATTTGTTCAATAAACATTTGCTGCTATAAATAAAGTGTTTCGGTTTTCCGACAATAAAAATATTATAGACAACCAGCCTATATCAGGGTTTTGTGAACTTATCAGTTTAATTATTTCAGCCCCTTACTTCTGAAAAAAATGAGAGTTGGGAAGCAAAATTATAATCAGGTAGCCCAGTTTTGTCATCTGAGCCATTGATCCATTCATTTCCCAGACCATAAACTTCTCATTTACAAACACTGAGTTAAGTCATATAAATTCAACTAGGTACTCATGGAGAAGGAGGGAGAAACCAAGGAAAGAAGGAAGAAAAAAGGAGAAAAGTAAATAGTAATGGCAATTCTGGCCAACATTCCATTCAGTGGGCCAGTACCCTGGAGTACAGGTGAGACAGAAAACATGAATCTCAATTCCCACGACCTGGATAAGGTAAGGGACACAAAACCACAAAACTGTACTTCATGGACAACTTTAGAGATTTGAGGGTATTTTTTTACTATAATTTTCATCTTATGTGCTGACTTGAGGATTTACTTCTGCATTGAATATATAAGGCACAACTCCACTGTATTTGAACTCTCCTGATAATCATGAAAATGACTGGACATAAGTATATGACCTCAAAGGGTCAAGGATAGAAGGAAGGCAAGGCTCCTATGGAAAGGAAATTCTCAAGTAGATTGTTCTATCCCACCCCCATGGTATTTTAAGCCATTAGATACTTAATGGAATAAACATGAGGTTATGCACTGCACCTAAATGACTAACATTCCCTCCCTGGCAGGCATTCCCACTAAGTAAGTAGTCAGGGTTAATGTTGCTAAGCTAGTCCTCAATCCCATCTCTGACCAGAACTGTCCACTGTACCTGGTCTCCAGGCTGGCAGCCTCTTGCAGCATCTCATCCGTGACCATGTCTGTGTTGTAAAACTCTCTGAGTGCTTGCAGTAGCTCCTCCTTTCGATGAGCAGGCAGGCTCTCTGCATTGAGCAGAGCCCTGGCCCCAGAACGCACCTGCCGGCGCTCAGGGTCTTCCAGCAGGCGCAAGCCTTCCTCTGAGCCAATGGGGGCCTCGAACTCCTTGGCCAGCTGCTGCTTCAAATGGTTGTCATAGTAGTTGGAGATGGCATGGCAGGAGGTGCAGAGCAGCAGCACATCATGGGAGTTGTGGTCCTTCATCTCAATGGGAAAGTGCTTCCGGTACTCATGTGGAATCACGTTCTTCCTGAGCAAGTCCACCCGGAAGGCAGTGCTCATTAGTATATGACACAGACACACATGGAGCTAGCAGGAGGGCTCCTGGCATTCTGATCTGGGCCTAAATAAGACCGTGATGCCTTGGGCACCACAACTCAACAGAGATCACATGAAAACCTATTCCACTCTCGACTCAACTACCTACCTGCGCCTGAGATTCCTCTTGAAGTAAGAACAGACCACCCGCTATCAGATTTCAGTGGAGGGCCAGGGGTAGCAAAAGGCTAACAACCTTTGAGAAGGTTGTGCTCCAAGAAGAAAAAGAATCAGGAAAATAAAAAGAAATTCTAATGACCTTTAAAATCTGGAAAACAACTCTCTCAAAACATGTTGTAGGTAACCTCTACTCCTGAAATTTTGGAAGCCTGGTGACCTGAAAAAGCCAATTTCCTTCACCTGAAGAATCCTTTACTCTAAGACTGTGTCATCAAAGTCCATCATTATTTTCTGAAGAGAACTAAGCTCTCAGGAAAAACTCTTAGCAGCAACAACTACTTGTCTCACTTTGCAGGGGGAGAGCGGAGGAAAGTGAGTTATTCCACAGAAGCCAAGGAGAAAGCCTAAGTGTTTGGGCACCCAGACCCAGCAGGCAGCTTCCTCTTCATTACGTGGGGGCCCTGATACAGAATTATCTTCCTGGACTATTGCAGTGTGTGCCTTCAGGTCATCTGGATACTTCATGAATAGTACCAAAGACCAGAAAGCTCATGAGCCACTTAAGGGAGGATTATGACACAGAGAGAAAAGCAGCTTCTGAAGGAGCTGGTCTCAGTTCTCTCATGAGCAAAAGGGAACCACTCTTTATAGCAAACTGTTACTGAGAAGAGTGTTGCATTCCAGAAACTAAAAACTGGGCTCAGGAAGGGTAGGGGCCACTAGAGCACGGCCAGGCAGTGTCAAAGCTCTCAGGGAAACTGGGATGTGCCCTAGGGACTAGTCTCTCAGCCAAAGTAGACAGACTCTAGCAAGGCCCCTGAGGACTGTGCATGTGGCTACAAGGGCAATTTCCACTGGAGGCAGAAAATCAGTTCAGCAACCCTACACTCACCGAATGTAGGAGTCTTTCTTGCCACACACTACGCACAGGTTCTCTTTAACCATCAAGTAGTAGTCTCCTGGGGATTCAGGTCTTCCTGCAGGTTCAAACTGTAGCCTGACCACAAAAGGCTCTTCACTCACCAGCTCTTAGAGAGAAAAAGAAGTTTTGTTAGTGTGTGTGATTGCTTGCCTCTCCCCAAGGGAAGAAGCACCACCTGAACTGCTGTTGGCTGTGTCCTGGCAGACATCACTATCTCTGGGTTTGAATAGCTCTGTCTCTGCCTTCTATACATCCCCCTCCCTTATCTCATTCCTCTCTTCTGCCAGTGCCCACATGCACCTAATTATAGATAAAATAGGACAGTTGAATCTCAAACCTCCAATGCCTTTGTCCAGGTACCACTGAGCTTTTCTTCGATCACAAGTGCATAGGGGCTGTCCATCAGGAGCATGGAGAAAGCAGTTATCATAGGGGTGATTTT